GATGGAGAAATAAAGATAAAAACTATAACATCCATGTAGCTTTCTTGGCAACAATACAAAAAGGTATGCTAGTGCCTTCTTCTGGGATTTTTATGACTGCTCAACCTAGGCCATATCTTTGGGAGTGATGATCTCACACCCAATTACTAAGCAGGTCCAGCCCTGTTTAAATTTACATTTTTCAAAATCAGCTAAAGTCAGAACTGCCATCTAATCCTAGGTATGTTGGCAATGACAATCTTAGACAAGATGAAGAAAAATAAGGTGACAATAAAGAAGCACAAACTCATACATTCTGGGAATGTGATGTGAGCAGATGATGGCTTAGAAAGAACCAATAGTGAGAAATCAGTGGATGTGGTAGATGAAGAGGATCAAAAAGATTAGCAGGATATATTTGGAAGAGCTATTATTAAAGACAGATCAAAAAGGCAAGCATTTGTCTATAGTCAGCAGGAATCAAACCCAAATTGTAGCCTCCATTGCACAATGGCCAGGCTGTGTTCAGCAGTAGACACAGTATCATTCTTCTCCAGTAAGACTCAATAACCATAACCTTCATTAAATATTTTCACATAGGAAGGAACAAAATAGTTTAGAGATAAAACTATTTTTTCTCTACTATAGATGATTGAAATCATGAGAAAGAAAAAAGAAATCAGTGAAAAAAGTAAAATAAATTGCATTATGTATTTATAACACTATTTATGTATTGTTGTAATTAAATAACATTAAAACATTTATGCCCCTTTATATATTTATACCTCTTTATGTATCTTGTAACTGCTGCCACTTTTGCCAATAATTAGCAAAATAATTAACAATGAAATATCCCTTTCTCTGAAATCCAGAGTTTCCTGTATGTCTTCTGTATATTAAGGAACACCAGTCTCTTTTGCCTGGGATTAATTGTACCGTTGAATAAACCTTCTCAAGTTCCCAGAACTGCTTTAATACATACTTTATATTGTTAATTAAAAACAAATCACTGGTACTATTATAACTATTCCCCCTCAAGAGTATTTTAAGAAATTTGGAACTGCAACTCTGAATTGTTGGCTAGAATCATGTGATCTATTAAACAATGTGTTGTACTTAATTTTGGCCGAGCATATGAATGACTCAGCATGACACAAGCATCAGGTCCTAATTTGTTTTAGCTGTATATCAGTTGGAAACAATAATCTATTGTACCAACGGCTATCATGACTATGGTGTCTGCAAAGGAAGACTTGGTTTGCCATTTCCTAACTTATTTCTGGTTTACTTTTAGAGTACCACCCAAGTTTCTACTCTATCCACAGATGATTCAAGTAAATGGTAAAAAATCAGACTGAACTCATTAAGCCAACTATACTTATTTTACTACTTTCTAAAACAAAATTTTGCTTCAACATTCCCATTTTGGGAGTGTTAAAAACTGTGTATCTATAAACTGACACATAAACCAACTAACCAATTACACTTAATGTTATGTGGAAACACATGAATGAAGTTGTCTTTGAGTCCCGATGCAAGCTGATTATTCTGGTTAAAATGAATATAAAATAATAGAGAACCATTTGGAATATAAATAAGCATTTTGTTGATATATTTTACATTTAAATTGATTTCTGTAAAAAAAGATAATCTTCAAATGGCAATTCTTAGCCTTTGCTTTTATATGGATTGCTACATCATTATCAGGTTTTGAGGATCATATAAGCCAGTGAAGACAGTGTGATGGCAATGGCACCACAGCAGATATGATGCCCCTAAATTAAATTAAGCTTTAGAAAAGTATAGCTGCTGATCTCACAAGCACTGAATCGCACAGGATTTTGGCACTCCCAGGTGAAATATTGCAAGGAATGGGTCAAGTATGTAGAAATCACGTGAGATTTCAAGCAAGAATGCAATCTTGTGAGATCGTTCTCAGACTAAGAACAATCTTTGTAGCCCACCAGAGATTCCCAGGCCTCATTTGGGAACCATTTCATGAGGAAAATCTGTGTATAGTCAAAGGCTAATATAGACGTCAAGTAACTATTTGAAAGGATCTTCATATATTACATCTGTAGTGATTATGACTATAACCCAAGTATAAGCAAAAGGAAGATCTGTCACTAGATCTCTTGGTGATGTGCACGAAGCAAAGGAAGTGAGATTTTCAAAAGTCCAGTTTTTGAATGGAAGGCACCCAGTGCTGTGAGTGGGCTTCTGGTCATCCAACGAAAGGTCTTCTCTCTTCCAACCTCTCTACATGCAGCAGTGCTTTTTTCCAAATCCACTCTAATAATTGTCCTGGAAATAACATCTGTTCCATCACTGATGCCCATTCCACTAACTAGGCAAGATCCCTTGTGTGTCTCTTTTCAATATTTCTAGGCTAAGAATCCTTTCCTTAAATCTTTTCTCTGTATTTGTCTCAAGTTTTGACTGGTTTTAAAAACATAAACCAAGTAGAATCTGCAAGTTTGAAGCTCTTTTACGTCTGGTCTAAGTTGTTTCTGTCCTTACCTTTTTAAACATTTTCCACTGTCCAAATCAAAGCAACTGTTTTATTACATGTGAGAACTGCAGCCATGTTGAACTTTTTCCAGTTTCACACATTGATTTTATTGTAATGAAGAATTGCAAAAACCAGTTTGAGAACAGCTGAAGCAGATTCTAAAGTATAGTATAAATACATTATAAATATATATAGCCAACACAGACTCAATGCCTGGGATCTGTTTGCTAATATTATTTGCTGTTAACTCCATATTTCGGTTAATTTCTTAATCCAATTGTAGAAGATTGGTTAAGTGGGAATCGTAACCAGAATTGTAACTAAAACATGAAGCTACTAGGATTCCCTATAGAACCTTCATGTTTAATTACAATTCAGAATTAAAGCTACCAGGTTGACCACCAGTTTACATTAAAGTTGCCCTAATACTGTATTTCAACAACGCTTTTGGCACTGAACTTCCAAAGCTGGTATAAAGATGTTCTGATCTGCAAGATGGATATGCACTAGGGCTATGTACGCTTTGAAAATGGTTCTGAAGAAGTAGTTCAAGATATGTTGCGGGGGGCATAGCACTTCTTTAAAGCAGTAAGACCTATTTGCTGTGCGGAAGTGGAGGAAAAAAAGAGATGGCTGCTGGGTCTTTTGATTTTCCAAATCAATTGCAGAGCACCCCAAACCTACAATGCATGCATTTGAGATTCTGGAATAAAATGACACATTGTATACTTTTAGAAATGAATAAATTAAATATTAAGTATTTTATTTGAAACTAGACTCATGAGGCCATCAAGTTTAAACACTAGGAAATTCCATTCATTTATTTCAGGACCTGTTGAATATAATTCTCTGATTGAGTTCCATGGGGTTTTGTTAAATGTCTGTGTTTTGGAGTACAATTTTTTAGACTGGACTTTTATCATTCTCTTCTCATTCAAACTGGTCATTCATCACAATATTTCTCAACTCACTCCTTCTATCATTTCTGATAATTTCATAAATGTAGACAAAGTATTTATTTAAAAACTTAACTATATATAATATTTATTATCAATCCACAGGATACTTTGATTGCTACATAAAACTAATTAAAAGCTATTTCACCTTTACAAATTGTAAAAAAGAGACAGAGATAGGAAGAGCAAGAGAGGGAAAAAGAAAAAAAAAGTGCCACAAAGATGTGATAGTTGTTGACAGCCAAAACACTAAATTGTAAAATTATAAATTTGCTGTAGAAAAGATAAAAAAACTTGAAACAATTATATTCACTTTAGAATTTTACTTTGAATAAAATATTCCACTGTATAAAAAAATAAAAAAGCTTACTCTGGTTAGAATTAGGGTACTTTTCTTCTTTAAAACCTAGGAATTTGCATAATATATCTGTAATAGATTTTCTTCTATTGTACCACACAGATTTCAAGCATAGCAGATTAGACACAAATAAGACAAGCACTCTTCAAAACAATCTGTGAAATGTACACGGGAAGTTTCACCATCCTTTTTAATTCATATTTCCAGATTCCAAGGCTACATATGTCAGAGAAGCCCTTGGAGAGACCAAACCCAGAGCTTTTAATGTGCCATTCATTAATAAAAGGCCTTTTTTGCAAGTGCTATTTTTTTTTAATAAGGTGCGAAAGCAGACTGCAATATTGCTAGTGCTGCACTATGTACATATTTACAATAGATTCTGCAGAAAAAAAAATCCAGCGAGTTCACATTTTTTTCTTTCATTCCAAAAGTTTGGAGTTCCACTATGGTGATTGCAAGAAATGAAGTGCCTCTATTTGGGAGGGACTGTTGGTCCTCTTGATGAAACTTGGCAACGTACTACTAATGTGAACCTCTATTCCCTGGGCTGTAATCTTGGAACTCCGACATTCTAATGATTGGAGTCCTGAGTTTAAGATGCTCCAATGCTGGAGTTGAACAGAGTCATATCCTGCACTATCCAGGCTTGTTTCCTTAAATTTGCAGAACGTCCATGAGATATGCTCCTCAAAGCCATAAAATAATATCTGCCAGGAACATATCAGTGAATGGCTTAGCTGCTCTTGACTCTTGACTGGGTGATATCTGAGGTTTTCTTGATGACACTTGCCCGGTTCTCATGATCTGGAGGCCTGCTGCTGTAGCTGGTAGAAGCTGAGCACACTATTTGTTGGAGAGGGAGATCTGGGAAAGAAGGCCATGAGCTGCTATAAGGCAAAGGGCAGCTTTCTTCTTTGATGGTCACCTGCAGGTCAGGTTGGTTAGAAGTCACAAAGGTGGCCATACCAGGAAGTGGGTAAGGTGGATTCCTTGTCCCCAAATTGCTGTAGTATTGTTTCCCACCGATGTTTTTCTTTTGCCACTGAAGGTGACTCTGCAGAGAAGAAATGATAAGTTTACCTACTCTGTTAACTCCAATAGAGTGTTTTTATTTATTTATGGTATTTAAATCCTGCCTTTCTTCTGGGAGGTCAAATAATAATCCCATGAGAGCGTTACTCTAGTCCAAAGTCATCCAGCAAGCTCTGTGATCAACTGGGGACTTGAACCTTGGTCCTTAGTCCAAAATCCAGCACCTGGGACAGTATACAGGTAGTCCTCGCTTACCAACCATTTGTTCAGCGACCATTCAAAGTTACAACAGCGCTGAAAAAGGAGACTTACAACTGGTCCTTGAAGTTGTGGATGTCGCAGTGTCCCTGCAGTCATGTGATTGCAATTTGGGTACTTGGCAACTGGCACACATTTGTGACAATTGCAGTGTCCTGCAGTCTCATAATCACCATTTGTGACTTTCACAGCCAGCTTCTGACAACCAAAGTCAATGGGGAAGCCAGCAGGAAGTTGCAAGCTGCAGTCGCATGATATTGTGCTTAACGACCATGTTGCTTAGCAATGGAGTTGCCAGTCCCAGTTGTGGTCAGTAAGTGAGGACTACCTGTATTACACTGACACTTGTTAGAAAAATGTCTAATATTGCTCATGTTATCTGTTGTACAAAAGACACAATCAGCAAACATGCTGACAAGGAGAGAATTCTTGTAGTGGAATGTGAAACACAAGGTAGAGTTTTCTTCCCTCAATTGTACACCTTGTTGCAACCAGTTCATTTTGTGCCCTATAGATTTTGTTGCTTGGTGCAATGCTTATGTACAAAAAAAGGGCTGTACAGACATTTTTCCCCAATGCATAAACTAGTAGAAGGACCAATTGGACTATATTTGTTGACCCTACTCCCAACAGTGACATCTGATGTCCATTCCTTTAGGGAAAGCTCTGTATGTGTGTGCATGGGCACTCCATGCACTCAAGAGTTCCAAGTGCTCAAGGTGCCAATTTGTAGGTACTCCATTCAGACTTTCTATCAAATACTGTCAAATAGGATAAAGCTTCTATACATATCAGAGTCAGGCTGATTAATAAAGAAACATACAGGTAATTTAAGTGTTAAGTCTCTTCAAATTCAGATCTGTTCCAATCTTATATCAAACATGGTAAAACAGGAGAATGTTACCAGCCAGAGAAGAAAGACAGCAAGGGCAAAGTGTAGTTGAAATTATTCCTCCCATCCTGGGAGTAGATGCAGGTTTCAACCCACACATCTGGCTCTATCACATACCTCCTGGTTTATCCTTTTCTCACTGAATTCAACAGAAAGCAAGAATGCTCAGCTTTGGCCCAGTTTTGCAGAAAAGAGAAATGGTCATTCCAAAAGCAGAGAGAGATTTAAAAAATCAAAAATAAACAGGAAAAGCTACCATGAATTTTTCCTGATTGTTTCTCATGCAAGCAGTGAATAAGACTGGACAGAAATGCTATTCATCTTGCAGGTACAATGTGTAAGAAGCTTTCCAGCATGGTTAGGAGAACTTCCTGCCATTGTGTTCAACCACATGCGAACTCAGGAAATCCAAAAGACACAGCTTTTGACTAAGATATAACAAAAACGTTTTTACTAATGTACCCTCCCACTGTGGCTTTGGATGTACAAAAGGTATCAGGTACAGCAACTTATGAAGTCCAAACTATATGTTTAACTTTAAAGATTTTGTTGCTCAGTGAGTGAGAGTGCTATAACTTTACCCTAGGGGTTGATTTCAATTTCAACAATATCATGGCTGTGAAGTGTGAGATGAAGCAACCTGAAGTGGAAAATATATATTGCACCAAAATAGCTCACTCAAACCATTAATTATTAGGGTTGTCTAAAGCATTTGAAAGACATGCTTTGCAAAGCATGTTTAGGATGAGCAAAGGATGTCTCCTCGAAGTGTAAAAACAGTGGGATCCTTTGGAAGGCTCACAGGTTGCTTCCAAGACTATTTCTGGCTGTCTATGCATGTGCGTGTGTACACAGACAATGCTTCCACTGGGACCACCAGTGAAACACAGCAGCTATTGTGTAGATATACTTCCTTGCATCATCACTCCTTGAAGTGTCAAAATAGCTGCATCATCTAGAAGGCTTATATTTTTACGTTTTAATGGGAGATGATTTATTTGCCCCTGTGTGCTTTGCAAAGGATTGCTAGCCTGTATAGATATTAACCCTTATATAGAGATTCACCAGGTTCAATGTCTGTTTTGGGCTAAAACTGCACTTTAAATGAAGATGCAAAGATGGAAAAGGGACTGATCTAGCTTTCTTTTGTGGTACAGCAAGTCCTGTGAGGGGCAAACAGTCCTGCAGCAGTCAGACAGGCGTCTCCTGCCCACTAATGCTGAAATCAGTTATTGGCCCCAGGTCTGCCCATCAGACCTTGAAAACGTTCTCCTGGTTCTGACATTAGATTCCTTTAGCTCCTTCTTCAACCCAACCTGATCTACTAACTGGGCAAGTAAGTATTTAGATGGACTCACACAATTCTATGTGACTGGCATAGTACTGAAAATTACCAAACTACGTGTTGTAATGCTCCTATAAGTTGTAGTAACTGCTAGATCTCACATTTCTTACAGAAAAGTCACTGATGCCAAAGCTACAATGAAGTTCTCTAAGGAGGTTCTCATTGAGTTCACACACTGTGCTAAGTCATAGTTTGCTTAATCGTGATTTGGTGAACCAACCAAAATTGTCTGACCTCACAACTTACAAAGCCGAAACAAAGTAAACCACATTATGTTTTAGCATGATGTGTGAACCTGCTCCTTGCCTGCTGATCTGGAAATTAAACTTAACTATGGATGGTTAAGGTTGTTGTTTTTTTTTTAAAGTTCAGCAGCAGAGGCTGCAAAATTACTATAATTACTGAAATTGGTTATTTTTTAAAAAAATTATTTATCGGCATCTGGTCAGACTTGGCCATCTTCCTGGCTATGGTAAAGCAATCTACCTGAGGCTGACATTGACAAAATCTTACTAAACAGAAACTGTTGCTCTCAATTTGATCAGAGCAAAAGGATTGTGTGACCACTTTGCTCTTTGAAATGTCCAATATTTCAGTCTACCATCCAAAGGGGCTGGTTAAGATAGTTAAAGCCCTAGACCCTACCCTTTGCTCAAAGCATCTCTTCCCCAGTCAGCCATGTCTATTATTTAATATACTTGTTGCATTACTCTTGGACAGGCCATGATCTTTCTGTGGTCATAATACTCCAGAAGCTACAATAGCCCTTCCAACCTGGTCCTTTCAGATCTATTGGAATATAACCCCCAGCCCACCGATGTCCAAAAGCTGGCTGTAATGCTGAAGAGTTGCTTTTGAGATATATGTTGTATGCCGGCCAGAGTTGCTTTGTGTAAGATGGGCGGCTATATAAATGTGACAAACAAACAAACAAACAAATAGCTAGCAATGGGCTGAAATGGGTCACATTTTGTTTTGCTTCTGTTACATTGACTGTTGTTTATATACCAAGTATTTGTTTAGGTGTTAATTTTTTGCTTGTTTTAAGCATGTTTTAATGCCCATTTATACTTTTTGTATTTTGCAAGCTGCTTTGAAATGCTCATGTTTTGTGGACAGGAAAACCCGAGTAACAAATTCTTAAACCATCATACTTTATATATGGGTCAGTAGGAAGAGGGGGGAAATTATTTTGCCAATATTGTGGCTGAATAGGGATGACATTTGCTGGGTGGTCATAAGGAAAGCCACATGTTGCAGAGGAGGGAAAGAGAAAATCCTGCCCATTTTATCTGTGATAGAATTTCAAATGGCTCTTGTTAAAAAGCCTAACTCTTTTCCTTTTAATTTTTTACAGAATGATCTCATCTGAAACAAGGAAGTCTGAGAAGTTCAGTCATGATTTCTGGACTGATTTCAGCTGATCGAAGGATCTTACTTTCTTCATGATGTGTCAGCCATTACACTCTCTAGTTGTACTTTAATTGGCCAAGCTGTTTGAAGGACCACATCTTTGGTGGTTGTCTTCAGAGTCCTTTTCACAGATGTGACTGTCGAGGAAAAAGAAAAAACTCCTCCCTCAAGGAAGCCTAGATAGCTCCCTATTTTTCATACTTTTGGCAAATGGGAAGGTGTTTTTTTCATCAAGAGTTTTGATTATTTTACTCTTTGGCACTGTTTAATGGTACAATCATTTTAATGCTGCTTGAGCATTAAATTTAATGTTGCTTCCTCCCTCATCTCTCTTACTATCAATGTATTGGTCTTATCTTAATGTTATTATACATTGTTTCCATCTGTCATAAGCCATCATGCAAACCTTTATAAAGAACAGCAAAGATATTGATTCTAAACCATCAATGAATCAAACAAAGCTCCTAAAAACAATGAACAAAAGCCTATTTGTGATAGTAAAAGGAAAACCTGGAAATGTTTTACTTACTTGTGCGTTTTCTTCATCACTTGGGATGCTATCTGTTGTTTCACTTTCTGCCAGACAGAGCAGGGATAAAAATATGAGTTCTGCAGATTTATGAATAGCCAGTATGAACAGAAATTCACTCTACAGTTGTTTTGTTTTGACCATGATCAGCTGCATCTTCTCATATCCAAGAAATTATTCCAAATCAGTCTAGTGAGATTTATGTAAAACCAGTCTGATCATATTAAAATCACCAGAACATAACCCAGAGGGCAAGAGTAATCTAAAATGAATAGTCATAATTAAAAAAAAAAAAGTAGAATTGTTCATATCTGAGGGGCCAAAGGAGAAAATTACTACTATCTGTAAGCTTGCTTCAGGACCAACAGGTTGTTCTCAACTATTCTGGCAGCTGCAACCATGATTGTACACGGAGAGTTTGAACATTCCTTTGGCTTACCTCCAAGTAATGTTGTTGGCACCATGCCCAAGAAACAACAAAACTTATTTCACTTAAGAACGTTTATCTAGACTTCCAGACTTAAGGCCTTCTTTTTTAAGAAGGTACACTGATCTCCTGGTAAACTGTGTTCTCCCAGAATATTATTGGTCTTTGGCTGTACTATGGTATAACTAGCACACAAAGTTCATAACAGGGTTTTATGCATAATAGCAGATAGGAGCTAAATCACTGGTAAAGCGGCTGCATTACATAAAGTAGGTCCCATTCAATCTCACATTTCACATAGTGAAATGTGAAAAAGACCCTGATCTGAATTCCTGGAGTCCATATAAATAACACTGACTTCTATTTTTTAAGACAGATTTTATACACACACACACACATATACACATACGTGATGAAGATTAAGTTCTTTTCAAATGAGCTATTGTCTTATTAGAGAGCCAGTTTGGTGTAGTGGTTAAGGCATCAGGCTAGAAGCCAGGAGATCATGAGTTCTAGTCCCCCCTGGGCACAAAGCCAGCTGGGTGACCTTGGTCCAGTCACTTTCTCTCAGCCCTAGGAAGGAGGCAATGGAAAACCACTTCTGAAAAACCTTGCCAAGAAAACTGCAGGGACTTATCCAGGTAGTCATGGAGAATTGGACATGATTGAACAGATTAAAAAAAATTATCTTATTAGGGAACTAATAATTTTATTTATTGAGCTTTACTAAACTTAATTTGTGGAGTCCTTGGGGTTCTCTGAGCTTGGTTCTTTTCTTGCAAACATTTCATTACCCGGCTAGGTAACATCTTCGGTGCTCGAATGGGATGGGATTTGCTCTCTGTTTATATACTTTGGCATGCCCTGTTTGTATACTGTGGCATCACTTCTATTGGAAACTTAATTTTAAAGGACTTGGAAGTACTTTTAAGGAGCATTCAGTTTTAGTTCCTGTATTTGATTTCAGTACAGCTTTCTTTCTTTCTTTCATTCTTTCTTTCTTAGAAGAAAATGACAAGTTGATTAAAATGGTTTCCCAAAGCATCAATAAAATCTCTTCCAACTAATCTAAGCAGAAAAGGAAACATCTGTTAAAATTCTAGCATTACAAAGCTACTGACCTGCATAGGAGGAGACAGGAGAGATTTGTAGTGGATATAGTTGACTCATACAGCTGGGCTGGTCATCACATTCTGTTGTCACCTCTACTACTTGACAAACATCTGGTGGATTGGGAACTATCATATGATCCCCAGAACCAACTTCAAAGTGTGATTCTCCTACAACTGGATATGACAGCAATTTATGATGATGATTACATGCAGTCATATGAACTAAGAAGCATATTTTTCAGTGAATCTGAATGCATTATGATGTACCATATTTTCATGCCATAAAATGGGCAAAATTCAGAGAACCTAGCTTACAGAAACCCTTGATGCAAAGGCACGTCGTGGGCAAAAGAATACAGCCAGTGAATATAAACAATTTGGTTTACTGGGCCACAGGTTCTGACTGATTCTTCCCTATGTCACCACTTAAGGTCAATTCAGCTTGCTGTGAATATTTTATTACAAAGGCATCTTAATCAGTTCACATGTATAGGAGGGCATCTCATACAGTGGGGCAAAAAAGTATTTAGTCAGCCACCAATTGTGCAAGTTCTCCCACTT